ATGCCTCCAAGGGGGAAATGATACATATCTATTATTGTTAGATAGCTATTTCTCATTTTATTCTCGTTTTTCTTACAGCTACATCAAGACTCCACGACAGCAATGGACACAGCTCCTATTCCTTTACCACAACAAGACTCTGAAACTGGAAAGTGTGCAATCATGAAAGATGAAACACTTCCTAATGCTCCTCGTTTGCAACAGGATTTTTCTGGGGCAAAATGTGGTGTAAGTGGTGATCCAACTCCAACTAAATTGCAATTTAATATTCTGACAATAAGCATATGATCAAATCATGTCCATTCTATATATGTGTCTAATCGGACATGATGAAAAGGTGTTTACCAAAAGGTGTCTTTTGGATATTTATTTCATTCTTTCTTTCTCATTTTTCTAACAGCTACATCAAGACTCCACGACAGCAATGGACACAGCTCCTATTCCTTTACCACAACAAGACTCTGAAACTGGAAAGTGTGCAATCATGAAAGATGAAACACTTCCTAATGCTCCTCGTTTGCAACAGGATTTTTCTGGGGCAAAATGTGGTGTAAGTGGTGATCCGACTCCAACTAAATTGCAATTTAATATTCTGATATTAAGCATATGATCAAATCATGTCCATTCTATATATGTGTCTAATCGGACATGATGAAAAGGTGTTTACCAAAAGGTGTCTTTTGGATATTTATTTCATTCTTTCTTTCTCATTTTTCCAACAGCTACATCAAGACTCCATAACCGCAATGGACACAACTCCTGTTCCTTTGCTGCAACAAGGCCTTACTACAACAAAGTTTGAAATCATCAATGATGCAACCCTTAGTACTCCTCATCTGCAACAAGATTTTTCCGAGGCAACTTGCGGTGTAAGTGGTGATACAACTCCAACTAGATTTCAAGTCAACATGTTCGATATTAGACATGATCAAATCATGTCCATTCTATATATGTGTCCCATTGGACTTGTTGAAAAGGTGTCATCAAAAGGATTCTTTTAGATATATATATATATATATATATATTTCATTGTTTCTTTCTCATTTTATTCTCGTTTTTCTTATAGTTACATCAAGACTCTATAACCGCAATGGACACAATTCTTGTTCCTTTACCACAACAAGACTCAGCAGCAACAAACATTGGTGAACCAACAACAAACAAGGCAAATCCAACTCCAACTCCTATCGTTCCTTTGGTGAACCAAGACTCCCCTGCTGGAACAACAAACATTAAAATAGAGATGGAAGCAACTCCTAATCCTTCACTCCAACTAGACTCTAAACCAGCAGACATTGTGCTTAATGCACCTCCCATTTCAATCAAGTGGCCAGGGCAGGATGAGATTATTACCCTAAACAAGGGGAAAAGGGGGAGAAAGGGGAGAAGGGAGATGGTACTTATTCACTTTCTTTTTCTGGAGTTAATTATAAACATATTCTTTAACCTAAAACCAAGAATTGTGTCCGTATTTTTGGAAATTTTGCAAAACTTCATAATAAACAACCTAAAAAATTGGAAGTTGAGACTAAATTTCAATTTGATTATGGTCTCATTTCATATTTCTGTATGTAGGTTTTAGCACAGGAGCTGATAAAAAACAGTATTGCTGGTCCGAATGATGGAAATGCAGACGGAGCAGACGAACCTTGGTGGACAAAAAACTGGGTCAGGGACACTCGACCACGAGCCTCATCCAAAGTGACCGACGCGGTACATCTAGTATTTATAAATCTTTATTCGTGTCTCTTTGGCTTAGCTCAATAGTGTTTGTAGAAAATTCTTTTCGAACAAATCTTTTGCAAAAGTGCTGACTCAGGAATTCATATGAAATAATTATAAAAAAAGAAACTTAAAATATTAAAAAATCACATTCAGGACCTTAATGGTATCTTTTGTAATACATATTGAGAGCATTAACTTTGTGTGTATATATATTTCTATATTTACTAAGAAATTAAAATGTTTGGTATATTGCAGTACTACTACCATAAGACAATAGATGTAACCTGCCGGTCTCTTGTTGAGGCTGAGCGCTTTGAATTTGATGGAATAAGCCCCTATGTTGCAAGAAAACAGAGAAAACTTGAAGCAGAAGCAGAAGCCGCTAACTCTACCCTGGTAATTAATTAATGAATTGCTTAATTCTCTATAGCAGAAAAATAAGTTCTGAACTCCAAATCAGTGCTGTATATCTATAAAATTCGTGTAAACCATGTATGTTTTTATTTTAACACACAATTCCAGCTACCCACAAATCAGAATGAGAAAGAAGCCTGCTCAAAAAATGAAAAGACAGCTAAAAAAGGCCAAGCTGCAGAGGGAAGCTTGAAGGTAGAGGGAGATATGAAAAGGAAAAGGAAGGAGGTGGAGGGAAGCCCGGAAGAAGGAGGAAAGATAGCAAGCCAGACTCCAATTTCAGAGTCTGTCAAACTTGATGGAAGTGGTTTGGCTGATGTTCCGTTCTTTCACTGTGTCAGGTTCAATTTCTATCTTTTAGCCTCTCAGATTTTACTTTCTCACTCCATGAATTTTATTATGTCCAATGCAAATAATAGAAACCGAGTGTTTTAATCATAGCAGCGGCAGTACCAATCAAGGGTCAAGTACTTTTGTAGCGGGTCAGCTTACAGTAAGGCCTAACACATTAGTTTATGATGTGATTTAACATGAAGATTGAAGTCCAGTATGTATGAAAT